TGAGGAGAAGGGGAAGAAGAAAAAGAAGAAAGAGAAGGAGGAGAAGGAGTAGAAGAAGGAGAAGGAGAAAAGAGAGAAAAACGAAGTGGAAATAAAAGAAGAAGAAGAAGAAAGAGAAGGAAAAGAAAAACAAAAGATGATGAGCAGTAAAAGTAGAAATAGAAGAAAAAGAAGAAGAAGAAGAAGGAGAAGAAGAAAAGATATTGAACAACAAAAGTAGAAGTAGAAGTATAAAGAGAAGAAGGAGAAAGAGGAGGAGAAGGAGAAGGAGGAGAAGAAGATGGAGAAGGAGAAAAGAGGGAAAATGAAGTGGAAATAGAAGAAGAAGAAGAAGAAAGAGAAGAAACAGAAAAAGAAAAGATGATGAGCAGTAGAAGTGGAAATAGAAGAAAAAGAAGAAGAAGAAGGAGGAGAAGAAAAGATATTGAACAACAAAAGTAGAAGTAGAAGTATAAAGAGAAGAAGGAGAAAGAGGAGGAGAAGGAGAAGGGGGAGAAGAAGAAGGAGAAGGAGAAAAGAGAGAAAAAAGAAGTGAAAATAGAAGAAGAAGAAGAAAGAGAAGGAAAAGAAAAAGATGATGAACAGTAGAAGTAGAAATAGACGCAGGAGAAATAGAAGAAGAAAAAATATTGAACAACAGAAGTAGAAGTAGAAGTAGAAAGAGAAGAAGTAGAAAGAGAAGAAGGAGAAAGAGGAGAAGAAGGAGAAGAAGAAGAAGAAAAAAATATGTTGAGCAGTCACTCTTGCAAAGGCTGTAGACACGATAACAAGTCCACCTTTGTGGCTCCTTGAACGAAAAGTTGATTACGTTCTGTGACTAATGTGCTTATGAGACGCGACTCCTAATGAAACCCACAGAGGAAGACCTTTCATTGAGAGAGTATTCAGTATAGATCGTCCTTTTCGTTCCATTTCGTTTGATAAATAGTTGGGGAATTTGGTGGACTGAATATGGTGACTATTTAGGTGCAGAATAGTTTTTCGTCTTTGGCTTGTTATTGACTTGGTTTACTCTCAGGTTGAGAATTTAATAGACTAATGGTGATTATTTAGGTGCAGAATAGGTCTTTGGCTATTGATGGTACTATGTTTTACTCTCTTACTAATGTTGAGAATTTAATGGGGGTAGTATTACTAATGGTGATTATTTAGGTGCAGAATAGTCTTTCGTCTTTGGCTGTTTTATTGACTAAATGTACAAAGATGTTTTACTCTGAGAATTTGAGGGAGTTGCATGACTAATGGTGACTATCTAAATGGATAATAGATTTTTGTCTTTGGCTGTTTTTTTTTTTTTTTTTTTTTTACTAAATTATGTTTTACACCGGTAATTTGTTTGGTGTTTCTCTATCACTCACTTTCTTTCACATGTCTCTGTTATAACATAAATTAATAAACACACATACTCTTTAATACTATTATACATACACGCACTCTCTCTTCCTTATATAAGCATGTAAATTCAGTTTCAAAGTATGTCTTTACTCTTAACTCCTCTGTTCTGCTAATGTTACCATTTATTTCCCTTTCATTGTTATTTTAAAGATAACCAGTCTTAATGTTCAAATTTCCACTTACAGAAATAATATCCTAATCATTTAAAAGTCTTTTAAAAGTCATGTTTTATGTGAGACTGCTTCACTGAAAATTCACAAAAAGGTATTCATTTTTGTACAAGGTTGTAGAAAACATACTCTTCTCTTCCACACATTAAATATTCCCAGTTCTTGAATGAGGTGTATAAAACAAAATAGTCGTATACTTAAAGAAATTGTGTAACGCAAATCAGTTCTTGACAATATTCTTACACTAGATTCTTCACGATTGTAAGAAATTTTGACGTAATTTCAGGGTAGTCGGTTTCAAAAACACAATGTTCTTATCCTGTTGCTTTATTTTTGCGGTATTATTCCTTAGGAGAGGATCTTGTGCTTCGAAGAGTGGATCCCACAATTTATTTAAGTATACGACCGTTTCTTCAGAGCCTGTTATAGGTCATCTACGAAAGTCATTGGATTAGAACGCTGAGCTGTACTTGAATACCCTCTGTAAATATCCTGTTATTGACCTCTCTTTAATTTCCTGCAACATGAGAAAGTGTTTTGCAAAAAATAAAAAAATAAGAATAAATATAGGATTAGGATACAGAATACCAGAATATGACTACAAACATCCTCATTTATGTATTAAGAAATATCCTATCTTACCAAGTCATTTCTCATACCATCATCTCATTCCCGATCCCTGAGAGCAGCTTCAATCAATCGTGTTATTTAAACATGCCACAGCCCCTAACTCACTGAACACCTGCCACTGAAAAACAAAATCATAAAGAAGAAAGCTTAAACTCCATGAATTCTTAATATGCCCCCTCTCCCCTATAAGATAGGTTTCAGGTGATGCCCCCTTCCTTTCAAGAAATTTAGCAATACTTAAAAATTTCGACAGGGCATTACAGTAACGTGCAGAGTGATGGCGATACCGGCTTTTATCATAGCTC